GAATATTTAGTTGATTATTGTTAAAATCTGTTTGGAAATTCTTTGAAAAAAATACAACCCACAAAACTTTATGTGGCTAAATAAGAAAAAAAAAAATGGAAAAGCTTTTTTAATATTAATATGGAACACATAAAATTTGAAGTAATGGAATTTCCTTCAAGATTAACATCCAAGTTTTCATCAACAACTCTGTTAAGTCCAATACTCTGTGATAGAGCATTGTGCCATCTCTCTCTCTCTCTTACCAGTTGCTGTGTGAATGAATTTTGGTCTCAGAAAGCAAATGAGGATATAATTGTCTCCAAATGCATCAAGCTGAAGAAGTAACCTGGGAAATGATGTTCTTGGCTAGGAAAAGGCCAAGGGTGGGATTTGTGTCCCCTATTAAGCTATTACATTTAACAATAAACTAGGTAATCTGCCAAGAAAATAAGCACTACTGTGTTTAACTTTAAATGAGATGATTGCTCTTGGACTATGTATATTAATGAGTTTTGAATGAGTGACGTTTAATAAAATATTCACTATCTCTTCAACTTTCTTTCATTTCTTTTCTTGCTGGAGCCCTTTCATATTTGAAAATTAATTATGCACACCATATTTAACCAGGGTGAAAATGAGACTTACATGGAACCTTTCCAGCTCTTCATTACATATTTAATTGTTAAAATAATCAAGCTATCCATCATACATTCTGCCACCCAGTCGTCTGTCATCTTGGAATCAGTCAGACACATTATAGACAGAGAAGTCTGGAAACAAAAATTTCATGTCTCTTGTGCTGAACAATCTTGCCTGTGAGAGGAATGGTCTCAGAACTGGCTGTCTGTGTTGTAATAAACAGTGTCTTCAATGGCATCTTCTGTGTTCTGATTAACATCCTATTTAACACTAAAAACTCTGGCCATGTTACAGCGAAGTTCTTTAGCAAAGAATATATTCAAGCTCCTGTGTCTTCTCATTGATTTTAGGGAGGACAGTACAGAACATATCACATAGTACATAATGATCTATCCAGCATTGAGTAATTGCTACCCACTATGGGATGCTGTTCATCAGAAAACTGTCCATGCACTTTGCTAAAATGCTAAGTAATGTATTCCTTGTTTTGTGGAAGAGAAACCAGAAACTCAAGAACTGTATCACGGCTTAGCATAATCTCTCAAACAGAACAAGGTGCTCTGTGGAGCTGAGTTCTCCGTCCAGCAAAATGACAAGTAAATGCAGGAACACGGAAAAAAACCTGTATGTTCTCAATCTGACTACAGTCTCCTTCCACTGAGCCTTCCACATATGAAGAGCAAGCTGTGGAGACTGTTAGGACATTGTATTTAAATGTGGGGTTCAGTGCAGAATCAGAAGGCCAGATGATGCTATGACTGTACAACCTTTAAAAGATGTTAGGTGCAAAGAATTCAACTTTGTGGATGTTGAATGGACTCCTGGCTTTTTAGAAAGTAGGGGATGATTAAAGTACAATGAGGGTGGAACATTAGTTCAAAGTTGTTTTATCGAGACAGCTATCACTTCCCATCTGACCTTACAAGTGTTCATAATATCACCAGTAATACTGCACTGTACAATGGAACATTTTGAAATTATAGGTGTATTTCAATAGTCATGAAAACCTAGCACATTTTCAATTCAAAAAGGAATGTGAACATGATGCAAGTTTTAATTCTGGCATATTACTGAAAGAGTCACCATCTTCCATGCTAGAGGTACAAGGACCACAAGGAGTATCAAATACTTATGCTCCATCCCACAGTTGTAGGTCAGATTTTCAAAGGCATGTTGGTAGGAACAGCGTATGACAGTTTGTGTGTTTTTTAAGTCCAGTCTCAGTATGCATTTCTCCAGAAAAGAGAGGTTTTAAAAACTAGACAGGTCTAACAGGGCTCAGCAGCGTTGTCGATTTAAATGACTCCTGCCTAACATTTTAACTGTCCCTAAACATTAATTGTAACCTTGCCCTGTGTTCTGAAGGGAAAACAAGCTTTCTCTTCTTTCATGCACAGAGGTAGAACAATATTATTAAAATCTAACTCAAGAGCTTTCTAGAGATTATTAAATAAATCTCAGCACAGTCGGGCTGTGATGTATCGTGAAGGTCAAAGCTGATATAACAATGAGATAGCTACTTGCATAGAAATAATGTATTTGAATGAAGAGGTTGCCCCTACCAAATAAAGATATGAGCTAGAAAAAAAGAAAAAAAAAACACAAAAAATCCCACAGAGTATGTAAGAAGCAGAAAACAAAAGTCACCAACACCAGCCGTAGCTAGAAAAGTATCAAGGACAGACCCAGTGAAGCGAATGATCTATCTTATAAATTAGACTTCAACTAGGGTAAAAGCAGCCAAAGTGAGGGCCCAATTGTTTTTGTAGCCTGTCGGAAATAATTTCAAACCTGACAGGATACCACGGCTCGTAGTGTGATCTCACAGATTTCAGTGGTCACGCTGAGAGATAAGCAGAGAAGCACGGTAAAAATCCTGATAGCAAAAGCACTGCTGCCAGCTTTGCTGTACTAAGAGATTATCATTCACTCCAAATAGCAGATCGGGCAAGCGCTGAATGACTTCCCTTTCCTCCGCTCACCCCCCTCCAGCTGCCTCCTTGCTACCAACCTTTTTCTCCCCCTCTTTCCTCCCTGGGAGAACACAAAATGTTGTGTTTTATAGTATCAAAACCAGCTGATATATCCAGTAACAACAAACATCAAAAGAAATTACACCATCAACAAACTATCTTATAATATCATTAGTGACCTAAATTAAAGCAATATAATTGCCCAAGCAGACAGCACACAACCATACACGAATACTAATAACACTGCAAGTAGGTTCTAGCTCTTCACCAGAGGAGAAGGTGCCTGTGCACTCACTCTGTAATTATGTCGGGAATCAACTGACGAAGCTATTTCTTCAGCTATGGATGTTGAAGAGCAAAGCAGTTAGCTTTGCATGCGTGCCTTGGCGTGCCTGTCTCCCACTCATTGGCTCTCCAGCCTAGAGAGTTCTGCCAGCGTGCTTTGGAAGAGGAACACCATCATGGCCTTGCTCAAGGGGCAGAAGGGCAGGTCTTGGCAACCCTGCTAGACCATGCTACTACTGCCTGGCCTACACATGGGGAAGGGCATCAAAGGAAGCCCTTGGGAAGGCATAGTATCACTGCTGCTATGGAAATCCTGGAGCTTTCTTGAGCAGTGCAGTAAGAGAACTGAGACAGCCTCGGTATAGGCCAAGAGATGGTGGCAGAAGCTCATGGTCTGGAGCATCAGAACCACTGAGTGGGAATTGCCACTGACTGCTTAACCCACAAACTTCCACCCAATAAAGCTGCCTTTAAGCTATTTCCCTCTCTTGGAAGCTGCTATGCTGGTCTGCAGAATGGGAGTGCTTATGCTTTATGGATCTGCTAAGCTTTATTTTCTCTGACTTTTGAGTATAACCTTATATACTTCAATTAGTTTTACTGTTTTTTGCGTTTGTGTGATACTATGAGGTGCTGACCAAAACAAAATCCTAGGAGATCACTATTTATATGACAGAAACAGCTATGTATTCCACAAAAGGCACAGTTTGAATCCATTCAAAGTATGGATACAATCTTTAAGCTAGTAGGAAGAAAAGAGAGTCCTGTGAGAGAAACACAAAACAGAGATTGCAGGGAACCAATTTCATTTCCTAGCATCGTCGCAATTTTGATTGTCAACAAATTACTTCATTAGCCTCTGCTCACTATCCCAATTGGAAAACAGAGATAACATTTCCTTTGTTCAACATATCTAATTCTACAGTAGCAGTTCAGGACAATAGCCATTTAACAAATGCTCACATTTCTAGAGTTTATCACAATTTGAGTCCAATATCAATTTGGCTGTCTAGCTACTGTGATGTAAATAACAACTGTGCTTCTGGGGCTCATGTACAACTAGAAGACAGAGTACAGAACCATGCATCTTTCTCTCAGCAAAGATGCAGAGTTGAGTCTTTTCTGCTTCAAGCAAAGACCCCAGCACTACCACTATGTTTCAGCACTACCAGTGTGTTTGGTATCCATCAAATTAGTAATCTAATCCAGGTTAAATGCCTTAAGTTTTCCCCCACCCCATTTTTCATCCTGCAGATACTTGTACTAATGCAGCTACAGGTCTGGAGGAGGAGGAGTATAAAGGGGAGAGCAATTTTCCTTCCAAAATGTTATCTTGTTGCTGGAAAGATGTGCTTGGCAATGTACCCCTGTAGATAGGCAAAGGCAGTATCATCTCCATTTAACAGTCAGAGAATGAAATCACTGAAACATTAATTGGTTCGCCCCAGGTCACAGAGGAGGTCTGTGGCACGATCAGAAATTTGACACGCATCTCCCAGGTCTCATTCAGACCAGTGCCTTCATCATAAAATAATCACCAGAAGGTTGAGTGCACAGATGCATAGATTCACTGTAGATTTATTTTATTTTATTTTATTTTATTTATTTATTTATTTATTTATTTATTTATTTATTTATTTAGTGGCGCACAAAGAAAGAAATGGCAGCAATGCCCTTCTAGTTTCTGGAAATCTTTCAGTTAATTTATATTCTGAAAAGTGATTGGGAAAAATGACACAGTGCGGTTCTATGTTTATCCTATCTCAGTTAGTTTTGTATGAAGTTCGCTCAGTTTGAGGTTCAAAGGAAGGTTTTTGCTCAATGCCAGCACAGTGCAATCTCAAGAGGACTGAAAAGCATGCTGTATGCTTCAACTCATGCATCATAGGTAACCAGGAAACATTTTCAAAAATATTCCAGAAATGAAAGATCTCAAAGATCCAGACAAAAGAAACAAAAAAATCCCATGAGATTTGTTTTGATTTCACCTGCTCCTTCTGGTGGCAGAACACCGTCCAAAATCTGGAGGACTAATTTCACAGAATCACAGAATGGCCAGGGTTGGAATGGACCTCAAGGATCATGAATCTCCAACCCCCTGACACAAGCAGGACCACCAACCTCCACATTTAATACCAGACCAGGCTGCCCAGGGCCCCATCCAACCTGGCCTTGAACACCTCCAGGGACAGGGCATCCACAACCTCTCTGGGCAGCTGTTCCAGCACCTCACCATTCTCTCTGTAAAGAACTTTCTTCCAAATTTAATCAGAAATTAAGAAGAAAATTCTTCCAGTTCAATCCAAGCTATCTAGTTTCTAGGATGGCATTACTCTCTCTGTAATACGTAAATATTAACACTAGTAATAGAATAATAATATTCCTTCCAGCTCAGTTTTTACTAATTACTTTATTAATCCAGTGGAGCAAGGAGGATTTCAGTTGCCCATTTTACTATCTCTTTATGTGCTGAATCCTCCTGATCACAGCCTTTCACTAACTGGTACTCTGCTTTCTTATAGGTGCCCAACAGTAAAGAGTACAGCTCTGTTCATGCACATATGTGGAGTGAGGGGTAAGGCTTGTAGTAACTTTTTCCCATGAATGCAATTCCAGCCTCTAGCAACTACTGATGTTCACTTCTCTTATTCCATGGTTCCATGCCTGCTGGGATAGTGGGCTTGTTCCCTTAATGCTCCTGGGAACAGGGTATGTGGCAGTGAAATGCACGGTCAAGTCTTGTAAGAGCCCAGATGATCCAGTGCATGTACAGCTTAAATTCCATCAGGAACAAAAATGATCATATTGTAAAGCCCACTCCTATTTTAGAATTTTAAAGCAAATATCCAGAATTACATCTTTCTGTGTCCATTCATGTACTATGGTCTTTGTTTTCTTTGGTTTTTGTAATTAAGAGAAAAAGAAGCACAAGTCTCAAGCTACTGACTTGAGGTGTCAATGATTTGGAATTTTGTAAGAATATTCAAAGACAAACTTTCTCGTACATATTTACATCCAAGAAAAAGCTGAGATTTTAGTTCATAGCCCAACTTGCAGCCTTGCACTGTACAAATGGGCATTACAGCAAGATAAACGCCTCCTCATCTTTAGATGAGTACTGCGCACATCCCATCTCAGCCCCACCTTGGAAGGATCTGTATCTGTTTAGAATCCACCACATGGAAATGTTCCTACTGTGATTCTATAGCTTCTTCATTGCTACATAATTATTTTTTTGTTCCTGTTTTGGAAGTATTCTCAAGCTGCTTTTTATGAAATAAATACCAAGAGAGCATGGTGACAACAAAGCCTAAAGGTTAGGAAGGTATAATGAAATTTAAGAATGGTAATAATGCAATAGGAGTACTGTAGTTGTGTAGTATCTTTGAAAAGAGATTGCAGAAGAAAGCATTAATTAAGCTTCAATCATTTAACCGTGGAGGTTAAATGCTACTATACCTACTCCACTAATGAGCAGAGGCCTTGGCACGTTGTTTGCCTTGTGTAAAGTTACACAACAAATCAGAAGAAAGGGAAGAGAGGTAATGAAATTAACAGTAGCAGTAGCAATAAATATTTCTAGTGTGACATCATGCAAATTATCTTCTCTACTTCCAGCAACTAGTGTTACTGCATTTCGCATATTATGGTATTTTAAATTCACAATCCATGAATTAACCATCTTCCTGCCTTGATTTAAGCAGTTCATTGTCCATTGAAATATCCACCCTTTAAATCTGTATCTACTGGTGAGAAGGATGTTACAGAAAACCGTGTCAAAAGTCCTTACTGAAATCCAGATAGATCAGATCAGCTTTACACCATCAATAGGTTTATCAGGCAGGACTTTCCCTTAGTAAAGCCATGCTGGTTCTTCTGTCAATTCCCTCTCTTCCATGTGCCTTGGCAGAGCTTCCAGGAGGATCTGTTCCATGGTCTTCCCCTGCACAGAAGTGAGGTTGACAGGTTGGTAGTTCCCTGGCTTGTCCTTTCTACCCTTCTTAAAAATGGGTGTGACAGTGCCATTTTTCCAGTCACTGGGGACTTCTGACTTTTCTAATATCATTGAGAGTGGCTTGGCAACTACATCAGCAAATTCCCTCAGGATTCTGCATATGTATATAGCATGCAAAAAACTTCAATGAATACACAGTCCCTTAAATTTGGAAAAGTCACCTCAGGTGGAGAGAAATAAGTAATGGTTTCCAAATATACCAACTTCATTTAAACTTCCTCAGACTTCATGAAAATTACTCTTTCTAGAGAATGCAGACAAAATAAGCCTTCACACAAATAAGCACAATCAGGATGGATGACTATTTACAGAGAAAAAACAGAACAGCCATCTTACTTTGACATACTAGTCATCTGGGAATCGACTGTAAATGATTGGAACCTTAATCCTCCTACATGGATCATGAATGGCTCCAGTCATCTGGAGAATAATGGAGCAAGGAGACAAGATTTCACCCCAATGCTGACTTACTTGTATCTGTGGGCAAGCCACAGCACTATTATTCTTGCAGCACATGTAACACTTCTTAGCTGAGACAGATGCAAAATTAGCCTCTCACATCTTACGAAACTACAAAATGTAAATGCTAGCATAATTGTAAAGGTAGGTGATGAACCAAAGCTGATGCGCAGTTTCTTTAAACCTTCTTTTTTTGCTTAATTTCTGCCCTAACTGGTGATATTTCCTTTCTCCCTCATTCTGATTCAATATCCTTGACAGAAGTCCGCAGCTCCCCCTCTCTCCCATTTATTCCAAGGCATAATGCAGTAATTATACTTACATTTTTAAAGGTAGACATTTCTCCATAGGCCCTATCAACCTGTGGCCTCATGATTGTAATTACTTGATCTACAGACTGCTAATTTTTTTTTTTTTTTTTTTAATCTTCCATAGGAATAAAATAGCACAGGAATAGGACACAGGGAAAATGCAAAGAAGTTGCAGACAGATACAGCTAACGTTTCTCTCCTGAATATCAACTGCAACAAAAAATATGAATATTGGGGGGCCTCAGAAAATGAATTGATGTCTTCCCCCTCCCTTTTTTCTTAACGTTGACAGGGATTAAGTGAAACAGATTCAATTTTTAGGTTGCTTCCTGGGTTATAAGCAACAAGAAATCTGTTCATGTAGGTCTCTGTTTATTACTTTTCCAATTAGATTTGCATGCCATTGATGCTTGCTCTCAGGAGTCTATTTGCAATATTGGGAAAGGGTGTGTGTGAAATGAGGCCAAGTCCCTGACAAGTTTCTACTTAGCCTAGCTTTCCCTCAGTTGCTTATGACATTTTTGTTTTTCTACCCTGTAAATGAGATGAAAACCAGGAAAAACAAGACTTGGTAATAACAGTGCTTACTCTGGCTGGAAAAAAACTGGTCCAAACAGCAAGCCTGGCTTTGATTACATCTAGTAATCAAGCTGTGTTTAGAATGACTTGACTTAACATCCCAAGAAATATTAATCTGCACATGGAAAGCTTGGTTCTAGAGACTGTATGATGCTCTGACACTAAGTAAAAAGTTAAAGTACCTTCACCTTGGGGAAGTCTCTGAGGTGACCTGATAGCAGCCTTTCAGTATTTAAAGGGGAGCTACAGGAAAGAAGGGGACAGACTCTAGTCTGTAGCAGTAGAACAATGGGAAATGGCTTCAAGCTTAAAGAGGGTGGATATAGGTTGAATACAAGGAAAAACTCTTTAATAGTGAGGGTGGTGAGGCACTGGAACAGGTTGCCCAAGAGATGTGGTGGATGTTCAGTCCATAGAAACTTTCAGGGTTAGGCTGGATCAAGCTCTGGGCAGTCTGTCTAGCTGTGTATATCCCTGTTCAATGCAGGGGAGTTGGACTAGATGGCCTTTAAAGGTCCTTTCCAACTCTAAGGATTCTATGATTCCATGATTCTTTTACTTTTTCCTACTAGCTGTGCATTTTAGTCTCCTCTTGTGGGGTGGGGCTAAGAGAAATAGCAGAAAAGTTAGAAAGTGATCATTTTTTTTATCTTCTAGATGAGCATAGGAACAGTATTAAACAAACAAACAACAACAAAACAACAACAACAACAAACAAAAAACAAAAAAACACCACCTTTGCAGCAAGTAGAGAAAGCTGGGTCTAACTTACGTGGGAGTTTTTATTGTGTTGGACTTAAAGCACACTATACTGGCAGTATATATTTTAGTATAGTCTGGAATTTGCTAAACTAGAAAAACACTTTGCTTGCTGAGAATACACATTGTAGTAGAATTGTTTTAAATAATCACCATTATGATCCATCCTCATTATTAAGGGAAACTGTAAATGTTCAAGTACAGTTTCCTCAAAGTCTCCTAGAGAAATACATATGTTAGGTCTCAAGCCACAGTAAATTACACAGTTGCACATTACATCCAGAAATAAAATAAGCTGGATACTGTGGAAGTGGCTTGATTGACAGTGTGAGCAGACTGAAAGAAGTTCATGGGATGTGTGTTGTCTTGTTTATGTAGCAAGGGAAGTACTGTGGCACTGCAGAAACTCTAGCAAAACCCATTATGAGATTCAGTTTGATATCAAACACCAGTGCCTTCTTACTATCTATAAACAACTTTATACTTCAAAACTGCTTCCACAATCATCTCCTATTGCTTAGTTAGGTATGCAATGAACTGGAAAGGGGAAATGAAAATAAAAGCACTTTTTGGGGAAAATTCATAGCGATTATGCAAGATAAACGAAGAAGCACTTAAGACCGTACTCAAGTTTAACATAACAATAAAAGATTAAATAAAATCAATAAAATCTGGCAATCTGGAGAACTCCAATGAATTATCAGTGACTATTTTGACAGATAGACTCCAATTCTGCCTCTTCGTTATGTACGCTATTTCTCTCCAGCCTGGACAAGGTTTTCCCAGGGTTGAGGAAACCTCAAAAGCTTCATTAGTGCCCTTCTGCTTTTTTATGACATGGTCAATCATGAACGTATTAAATAAAACCTGTCCTAAGACTTAGCCTGCAGGAACCTGTGACTGCAACATCTTTCCTTTCAGCACAAAGTACCGTCATATTGCCTTTCATTTGTTCTGCCCCACCTCAAAGTTCTTGACCCAATCCACCCTTTATACATCAGTAATTTCCCATCAATATGGTATCTGTGCTTCACAAAATTCCAGACAAATAAAATCTCCTGCACTTCCTTTCTCTAGGAAAATGATATCAAAGGGCAATATCAGTTGTGTTTAATAATCACGTAC